TCTGGAGGAGCGAGGGCCTCTGGAGGAGCGAGGGCCTTGAGAACCTCAGGTGCTGGTACGGGAACCATTCTTGGTGCTGGCACGGGAACCAGTCTTGGTGCTGGCACGGTAATCAGCCTTGGTGCTGGCACGGGAACCAGCCTTGGTACTGGCACGGGAACCAGCCTTGCTGCTGGCACAGGAACCAGCCTTGGTGCTGGTACGGGAACCAGCGAGGTAGGAGCTGGTGCAGAGACCAGCCTTGGTGCTGGTACGGGACCCAGCAAGGTAGGAGCTGGTGCAGAGACCAGCTTAGGTGCTGGTACGTGACCCAGCGAGGTAGGAGCTGGTGCGGGAACCAGCGTTTCAGGTGCTGAGACGGAACCCAGCATGGTAGGAGCTGGTGCGGGAACCAGCGTTTCAGGTGCTGAGGCAGAGACCAGCGAGTCCAGGGCTGGTGCGGAGACCAGCGAGTCCAGGGCTGGTGCGGAGACCAGTGAGTCCAGGGCTGGTGCGGAGACCAGCGAGTCCAGGGCTGGTGCGGAGACCAGCGGGTCCTGGGCTGGTGCGGAGACCAGCGGGTCCATTGCTGAAGCTGCTGGCATGGAAGACCACACAGGTACAGCTGGAGGTGTGGGATAGAGATCAGCTGGAGGTGAGCTGAGAGGAGAACCAGGATGGGCAGGAGCCAGCAGAAGCGACGCAGCATGCGCCTCTCCATCCATGCCCGCCGGAACTGCTCCCACATCTCAGGCGAGCTGTCAGAGTTGTCAGCCCTGGTGTACTTGGAGATGACATCCTCCACAGCGATCATCCTCCCCCAGAGATCGCTGGGGCTACAGGGTTCCTCCCTCCCAGCGACAGGTACGCAGGGGTGTACGGCTTCCTCATCCCGGCGACAGGTTCACAGGGGTGTACGGCTTCCTTCCCCCTAGCGACAGGTGTGACGTCCTCCCCCCCCAAGAAGGGAAACACACGGGCATGGAATGGGTTGCATCTGAGGAGGGACGTGCTGGAGTTCGGTGGAGCCGGTTCAGTTCCCCCACCCGTTCCTCCTGCGGTGAGTCCGAGCAGACTGCCCCCCTTCCTTTGAAGACCGCTCCAGGAAAGCAGGAGGTGGTTGGGAGGAGGTGGGTTGCGAGGAGCTAACGCTCCGTGAGAAGGTGAAGAAAGGTGAGGTGGTGAGGCAAAAGACCCAGTTTTAAAAGCCAGGCGCGTACCTAGGTACAAAATCTTTTTCCTCTCCTCCTCCTCACGCCGAGCAGTTTTTGCTGCTTCGCGGGCCAGGAACTCAAAAAGAGTGATCTTCCTGCTGGGTTCGGTCTGGTCTCTGGATTCTATCATGATCGGCTTCCGTGTGTAGAACCCAAAGTGCAGGAAGACGAATGAGGCTCCTATCACGGTCAGCGGCCCCCGCTGCCCCCCCATCTGCCTAAGCCTCTGCTCTTTGTGTGTTTTCTGTTTTTGTGTATCTGGTCCTGTTATCCCACAAACTAAATCATTTCCTTCCTTTTCAAGGTGCTTTGTAAATGTGTCACTTTAATTGCATTCTGAGTTTTGTTTGACAGGTTCTGTCTCTGTCTGCTCTTTATGTTTTTGTTGTTCTGCTCTGTGTGTGATTTTCTGTTTATCTGATTCTGTTATTCTCCACTCACTCCTCAGTCTGCCTCTCCACTCAATCTTTATCATTCACACCTGTCCCTCATCAGCCACCTGCCCAGGTGCTCTCGTTACTCACTCTCCCTCTGTCTCATAAAAAGCCTTTCTCTCCTTCACTCCTTGTCCGGTGATTGTTCTGTGTTTACAGACATCTCAGTCCTCTTCTGTCTTGTCTGTTTCTTGTCCACCTGATTATCTGCTCTGCCTAGTTTCTGATCCTATCCGCCCAAGTAAGTTTTGCTGCACCGACAGCCTTTTGTTTTGTTGTTAAAGAATAAATTGTTTTTGTTTTTGAACTCCTGCCTCGCTCGCCTCTCTGCAATTGGGTTCCAACACTGAGGATCGTGACAGCTCCAGTAAATAAGTATAATAGTTTATTAATTAAATAAACAAAACAAAATGCTGACGGGGCAGCTAACTTACTTAAAGGAGGACATGAGGAGAGACAGGTCATGAAGCCTTAGGACAAGGACAATCCAGAGACCAAGACATAACACCTAGGGGCTGAATATATACAGACACTAACAAGGTGAAATGAGTGACACCTGCGGTGATTAGAATTAGACACAGGTGTGACAGTGCTGGAACACAGGAGGAGAAAAGCTGAGGGGTGACAGGCAAACATGAGGGAAAACATAACATGTAAGACAAGACCCCAGAAACCCTAGAGAAAAGCTTTGCAGAGAGTGGTGAAGGCTGCACAGAAGTCTGTTGGAGTCAGCCTCCCCACCATCACAGACATCTACACCTCCAGATGCAGGAAGAGGGCCACCTACATCTTGAAGGACCCCACTCACCCAGCACACACTTTTTGCCCCTCTCCCCTCAGGTAGGAGGTTGAAGAGCATTAAGTGTAGAACCACTAGACTGAGGAACAGCTTCTACCCTGAGGCTGTTAGACTCATGATTCTCTAACTAGAATAATCACTGTGAGAAAATCACATCATGTAAAAAAAAAAAAACATTCAATACAAAAACAACTGGACTTTATTTGTAACAGAAAGTCCAGTTGTTTTTGTATTGAATGTTTTTTGAATTTATCATGTCCTGGATGACTGAGAATCTTCACCAGCATATCACATCATGTTGCTATGTTCATTTGTACTCATCTGCTCATACAGACTCATGTTCGTGCTGCTGTTCAGCATTTTGTTTTTGTACTACTAGTGCTTAGCATATTTTAGTTATTGTTTTTCTTAGTTCATATCTTAGATCTTATTACTGTTTTTCTTTTATATTTTATACTTTTGTTGGATGTAACTGGGACCCTGTGTACACAATTTCGTTCCACCACATGCACCACATGTGGTGCGTATGACAAGAATCTCTGACTCTGGTATACACACACTAAGGCTAAAAGCAGTCAACAAAGAGGTCAATTTCTTACCATAATGTGGTCAGGTGGTAGCTCGCCATCAACTGTAGAACGTTGTTAACAGGGGTGACAAAAAATCCTGACCTAAAATGTCAAAAACATATATTAAGTACATAGTCAAATAAATTAAATTAGCTTTAGCTTAAATGGTTTGTAACCTTTATAAATAACAAACATATTCAATAAATGCTATATTTCATAAACATTTGACTTCATATATCAATTAAGGCACATTTTCAAAATGATTACTCAAAATCAGTTAGCTTTAAGGCTAGCAAAGGTATCAAACATTCATTTGAAATAACAGTTGTGCAACAGGTTCAAAAATATGTAGCTACAGGTATATTTTAATTCAAACCGAGTCAGTACTAAACAGTACTAAACCACCACTGCCGCTGGAGTGGATATTCAAAAATTAACAAAAATACCTTAAAATACTTCAAATAAATTCAACTAAGATGTCTTTTAATTACTACAGTTATGGCCTTTTATTCGGCTTACTTACTGAGGAACTTTATTAACGTATTAAATACATGGTTGGGAAGATCATATTGACCAGGGTAAAACGCTAGCCAAATCAGCCGTTAGCTCTATGGAGTCTTGCATTATAAGTGTTGTGATTTTTACTGCAGTGTTAAAACAGCTACTAACGCACCTAACAGTATCTTAAAACAAAAAGGCAACTCACCATCGAGTAGATGATTGAATACTTTTAAATTTTGCTGATTGTAGATCTCGCCAAAGTTATAGCAACAACAGCAGAGTCGCACACAGCCAGTGAGCTTGATGCAGCAAGCAAAGGGGTGGCCCAGTCCGGTGTTCTGTTGGGTCCGGACAGAACCATCACTTGATCCGAATCCAGACCGACCGATTGACCTCTGACTTAAAGCCTATCTACAGCCAGCCTGGTTGAGAGTGTCATTGCAGTACGATCTGTTCCCAGACAAAAAAAAATCTGTTCCAGGATCGGCAGCACACGATCGGTGCTGATCGGTACAGTTCGCGTTCTACCGTGCCCCCGAGCGCAGATATCTACACCCAGATTATTCCTATCTCTTGTAACGAATTGAAATAACTGCGCATGTGCAATTTTTAACGAGAGTCTATGGACTAGATTATTGCACCCCCAGGGGCCGGAGATACATCGCCATCAGACAACGTTTTTGAAAGAAACAACTTAACTCATCATTGACTATAAAATATCTACCTTACATAACAAAAAAATGCATACATTTCAAAATATTTTTATTTTATTATTTCATTTTTATTTATTTATTTTTAAGTCTTCAATGTAAAATGGTGAGTGGTTCCAGTGGGTGGGTGGCATCCGAGCACTCCCTAATGATGAGCCACCACGGCCACATGCTAGTAAAATCTTGGCAGGCAGTCTTTTAGATTCACGTGATTAAAGTCTCCAGCTACCACGTAAAGAGCCTCAAGGTGTTTGCTTTGCAGCGAGCTGAAATTATCATGCAGCTCCCGCAGAGCGCTATACATTATTTACAGTATATATGTGCATATAGCTTCTTGCGTAGCTTGTAGTTAGCATTTTACTACATTTAGTTTTTAGCAAGTGTAGTGTTCTGCTTCTTTTAGCTTTAGGAACAGTTTTAGCCTAACCAGGGGATGAAACAAACCTAAACAGATTTATTATTATTGATGACAGACAACTCAAGTAGTTAAAAAAAAATAGTTAACCACAAAGAGGATCACTAAAGCGAGTTAAATCATGTTCAGTAAATGACACAAGGGAGGAAACTGTCACACATTTAGTGTTAACTTGTTTTTTAATGTATATGAATGTTTCTGTTCAGTGCCCTGAGATGACTTCTATTGTGACTTCATTTGGTTCTGGGAGGCCCGCTTCATTTCTGAAAACTCACATCTGTGATTTATGAATGGCCAGAGAGAGCAAAACAATAGACTGGTGTGTGCGGCCATTTTACTTAACCGTTTTATGAAATTGTGTGTGTGCGTGTGTCTTTAGGTGGTATCTCCTCCCTCGCGTGATGAGGGATGTGTCTACTGTGGACCTGTCTGTAACTGTGCTGGGACAGAAGCTCAGCATGCCTCTTTGTGTTGGAGCCACAGCAATGCAGAGGATGGCTCATCCTGCGGGAGAGACGGCTACAGCAAGAGGTTCCTGCATGCACGCGCGCGCACACACACACACACACATGCACAAACACTCACCTACAAATATACAAATCTGGGAATACAAAATGCAGGCCTTGGAATTCCATATTTATTTCCTACCATTAAATGTTTTCAATGTCTACAGAATATGACCCACAGACAGAAGTGTACAGATGAGCATCAGACGTTGATGTGCATCATTGGGTGCAGTCATTCTGGCACTGGGCAACATCACACATTAAGGACATTTAGTTATTGCAGCATAAATTGCCAGTAAAACCAATATTAATATGTCTAACTAATTTTTACATATTAAACAAAAAACTCCTCCTTGAATCGCCACTGTGGTGGAGGAGTCTATGCGCCTGAATGATCCTAGGAGCTATGCTGTTGGGCCAGTTGCAATTGTCCCTGGTAGGATCTCCCAAGGCAGATTGATCTTAGGTGACAGGCCAGACAAAGAGCGATTCAACACAAATGCATGAACCAAAAAAAAAAAAAAAGAGCTTGATGTCCTGGATGTGGGTTACCAGGGCCCCACCCTGGAGCCAGGCCTGGGAGAGGGGCTCATCGGCGAGCGCCTGGTGACTGGACATCTCTACCCATGGGGTCCTGTCAGGCTCAGCCCAAATGAGCAACATGGGTTTGCCTTCCTGTGGATCCACTAACTGCAGGAGGGGCCATATGAATTGAGTGCATGATGCCATGGGTAGTGGCCAAAGGCGAGGGCCTTGGTGCTCTGACCCTGGTTTACCAAAGCTGGCTCCCTTCTGGAGCAGGTCCAACAAGAAGTTGTGCGTATAGAGCTTCAGGGTGCCCTTCCCTTGAAGCTGACTCTCTTCTTGGGTGGAAAGACAATGAGGACAAACACTTCAAAATTAACAAAGCTCTACCTCTTTATTCCTGCTGCTGTTGCTAGTGAGAGTATGGAGATCATGTCACTGCAACTAGATCTGTGCTTTTGACAGAAAATGTGGACAAGTTGGTCTTTTTGGCCAAAAACTTAAAACTTGATAAGTTAGATCATAAATGGTCTGTTGCTGCTTACTGTTCTGGTTCTGACTTATTGTATTTATTATGATTTTTATTATTGTTAGTATAGTTTATTTTTTGTAAAAAGTGCGGGCAGCATGGTGGTGCAACTGGTAGAGCTGCTGCCTCTCAGTGAGCAGGTCCCGGTTCAAATCCCAGTCCAGGGGCCTTTCTGGGTGGAGTTTACATGTTCTCTCCGTGCATGCGTGGGTTTTCTCCAGGTACTCCAGTTTCCTCCCACAGACCAAAAACATGCATTTTATGTTGATTGGTAACTCTAAATTGTCCCTAGGTGAGATAGTGAATGGTTGTTTGTCTCTATGTCCCTGTGATGGACTTGCTACCTGTCCAAGGTGTACCCCACCCCTCGCATAATGACTGCCGGACATGGACACCGGCGACCCCCGTGACCCAAAATGGAAGAAGTGGGTAAAAGATGATGGATGGATTTAAAGAGTGCCGTTTATTTAAAACATCATCCAAATGGGTCGCGTTTATTTATTTTTATATAAATGTATTGTTTACTTGGCATATTTTCAAAATAAACATTTTGTAAGTCTTTATTTTGGCCTTTTTTTGTACCGAAAATGAACCGAACTGAAATGTGATTTTAGCGTACCGTTACAACCCTAATATATACATATATAATTAGAATATAATAGAATAGAAACAGCCTTTATTGTCCCACTAATGAGAAATTCAAGTGTAACAGCGGCAGCAACCAATAAAAAGATTCACACAAAAGTTCCTAAATGTTAAAAACAATATATAAAGAAATAAGATAAACAATATCAATAATATTGTTCAATATGTGTTGGAACATTGATAAGGACAGACTATTGACAGTACAGTACTATGGGCAGAGTGTGTGTTTCAGCAGAGGTCAGCATGTATTTAATCCTTATTGAGTTTGTTGGAGCAGTGATGGTTGTAGAGTCTAACAGCTGCTGGGAGGAAGGACCTGCGGTAACGCTCCTTTGTACATTTAAGATGCAGGAATCTGTCACTGAACGAGCTCTCAGTTCAGCAACAGCTTCATGGGGTGGGAGATGTTGTCCAGCAATGATGTTATTTTAGCTGGAGTCCTTCTGTCTCCCACCACCTGCACTGGGTGGAGGGGGCGTCCAAGCACAGAGCTGGCCTTATTGATGAGCTTATCTAGCTGCTATCTAGCTAATTAATTACACACATTTGAGTAGATGTAATAAATTAATTTAATTCCTGTTTAAATGCAACTCAGACTTTGCTGGAAATCAATCAACATTTATCTAGACAGGTAAATCCCATTGAGCCTCGAGGACTCATTTACAAGAGATACCTGATTTCAACAAAGAAAGATGACAACAATGGACAACAGCAACAACAATAGACTGTTATAAAAAGTCATACTGCAGGTTGTTTTTTTTTTTTGTTTTTTTTTACAAATAGGATGGCTAAAAAAGGAAAAGGTAACAACAAAAAAAACAGCTAGATTCTAAGGCGAATGTAGAAAACTAAAAACAGGAACATGTTTTCATTGGTCCCTGCCAGGAGTACAACAGATTCTTAAAGACACTTAGAGAGGTCAAGGTCGAGAGCTTCAAATCTTTTTGTAAGATATTCCAGGAAACAGGAGCAGAGTAGGAGAAGGCCCTCTTGTCTAGTTCAGTCCTCACTGAGGGAACACTGCAGGTAATAATGTCCTGAGAGCGCACGCTGTAGCTGCACTCACGCAGAGACATGTAGGAGGAGATGTATGAAGGCAGCAGACCAAGAAGTGATTCAAAGATGAAAATGTACCAGTGAGAGAGTCTGCGTGAAGTTAATGATGTCCAGTTAACCAGTGAATACTGGGTGCAGTGGTGGGTACGATAATGACAGCCAGTTATGAATCTTAGTGCACCATGATAGACAGCATCCAACATCTGCAGCATCCAACATCTGCAGGGTTCTTGTAGGAGCATTCATGTAAATAATGTCACCATAATCAATGGAGGGAAGGAAAGTCACAGATACAAGGTGTTTTCTAGCATTCAGGGTTAGACAGGACTTGTTTCTGAAAAAGAAACCCAGTTTAACTTTCAGTTTCTTTACCAAGTTTTCCACATGGAGCTTAAAAGAGAGATGTGAGTCGACCAAGATACCCAAATATTTATAGGAAACAACAAACTCAATGGGGACACCATTTGAGGATATAATCGGAGGAAGAACTGCTGGGACCAACTTCCTATTTGAAAAAAGCATCCCTTTGGTTTTGTCGGCATTTAGGACATGTTTGAGGCGGAACAAATCTGTCTGGATGTTGTTGAATGCAGAATTCAAAAGCTGGAAAGCCTTAGCAACAGTTTTAGCTCGACAATAAACAACTGTGTCATCAGCATAGAAATGTATGGATGCATTAGGGATGTTTTTACCTACGTTATGTATGTAGATTGTAAAGAGGGTGGGTCCTAAGACTGAGCCTTGTGGTACACCATTGTTGACTGTTAAATAACTGGAGGAAGTACCATTATGTAGAACACATTGCCTTCGGTCTGAAAGATAGTTAGAGAACCAACCAATGGTGCGTTCTGAGAAACCGATTTCTGAGAGTTTATGACACAAGATGTTATGATCCACAATGTCTAAAGCTTTAGACAGGTCTTAGAAAAGTGCAGCACAATAATCCTTAGCATCCAGAGCTTCAACAACATCATTAAGAACCTTCAGTGAAGCAGTGGTTTTGCTGTGTTGTTTCCTGAAACCAGATTGAAGGCGAGGTAAGATGTTAAATGAGTCCAGGTAATTTTTGATTTGAGAGTTTATCAGTTTTTCTAGAACCTTGGCTAAAATGCAGAGTTTAGAGATTGGTCGATAGTTGTTCAGTGAGGTGGGGTCACCTCCCTTCAGCAAAGGAAGAACAAAGGCTGTTTTCAAGTGTCTAGGATGGAGTTTTGTCTTATGGAGAGATTGAAGATATGGGTCACAGGCACTGTGATGATATGAGCAGCCAGCCTTAAGAAATAATGTGGAAATTCATCTGGACCTGCAGATTTTTTAGGATCAAGATCTTTTAACTAGGGGTGCATATAAATTGGCCGGCTTATTGGTCGGCCCCAATTTCTTTAATTTAGGGAGATTGGCAATCGGCCGATCTTCAAACGAGAAGCCGATTTTATCCACCGATCGTATCTGCCTCCGCAAAGTTCTGAAAATCAGCTGCTGTTCCCTTTTTTTCTGCTGTGAGAGAGGGCTGACTAACAGACCCGCCCATCAGGTCACGTCTGCACATGCGTTAACAGTAGTCACAGTCACAGGTGAGGTCACTCGGAGCAGCCATGTCGTCGGTTTGGAAGTACTACGTAGTTAAAGAAAATGAGCCAAAGATCGCAATTTACATTTCGTGTAAAGCCGAAGTAAGTCATGGTGGAGCCACAACCAAAACCGTTAATACAACAAACCTCGTTCGCCATTTAAGAAATCACCATGCAGCCAAGTATGCAACGTTTGAAGAGAGCAACCAAGCTAAGGCTAAGACTAATGCTAAAGCTAGCGCTAACAAAGAGACAGTCGGTGGGTCGCTGTTAGCTTTTATGAGCAACAAAAAGAGCAAAGCTACCACGAGGAAAGTGATGGAGTTCGTGGCATTAGACAACCAGCCATTTTCAGTCGTTGAGGACAAAGGTTTTAGAAACTTGATGCAGCACGTGTGCCCACGATATAATATGCCGAGTCTGAAATATTTTTCTGATGTTGCATTACCGGAGTTGTTCAGCCAAGTTTCAAGAGACACCCGCAGCCTGCTAAAAGCTGATACAAATACACTCAGCTTTACAACAGACATCTGGACTTCTGATGTAAGTTTAATGTCCATGTTAAGTTTTACTGCACAGTGGATTGACGAACAGTTCGAACGTCATCAATTACTCTTAAACTGTAAAGAAATGGCAGGGTCTCGCACTGCGGCCAATTTATCAGCAGAGTTTAAGGCGATGCTGAATCACTGGGAAATC